TCTGTAGGAATAAACAGCTTAATTAATGATACTGAAATAAGCAAAACGAGTAGTTCTACAATTATTTCCTTCAAATTGGGCGAGGTGATTTTGTCTGTACTTATCTAACGTTTGATTATTAGACATTAAACGGTTAGGGAAATAAAACACTTTTGTTTCACAGAGCTTTTGGTCGGTGCATTTATGTACAGTAAAGTGAAGAGCAACTTTTGATACATTGTTTCTGTCAGAAATGAACAAATTGAATTTGCTGATATGTAAGTAGGTAAAAGAAAGAACAGCTACAGTAAGTTGTGGTAAGAAAAAATAATAAATTTTGTACTATTTTTAATTTGAACCAAGATCGTAGACGATGTCAGTAACAAAAGAAGAAAATTTCTTTCATTTTTGTTGGTAAATATCTCTTCATTTTTTACTATTTCGTCTTTTCCTTTTTCTTTTCTTATTTTTTTTTTTTAGAGTATCTGATGCCGATACGTAGTTGGTATCATCTGGATGTAAACTTAACTGACAGTAAATGGATGCCAAATGGCAACAGTAGTGATTCAGATGTCTATACAAACTGGCATCCGGGTCAACCGGATCTCTGTTGCGGTAGCTATGTTGCCTGTGCACAAATGGATTCCGGTACTGGACTATGGTTTGACACTGACTGTAGTAAAACTGCAGCTGTTGCCTGTAAAAGTGAAAGTAACAATTAAGCTGTTCAAATTAGCAAAATTTTTACTACATCAAATTTTTTTCATTTATCATGAAGAAAGAAAAAATCAAAAGATATAAAGCAGAAAAAACAAAAATTCAAAACAAAAGGATTGGAAAAGCAAAACGAAACAATAAACCCCCTATTAATGACGCCAAAATGTTAACAGCTGCTGGCCGATGACGATAATGTATTAATCAGAATCAGAAAAGTCTCAAAAATAAAAATGCTGTCTTCCTCTTCGTTTTTTTCTTCTGTTTCTTCTTTTTATTTTCTTACACAGCAACAGGTATTTGCTCTCAAATAAAAAAGCTTTGAAGAATCTAAGGAATCTTTGAAATCGCAACAAAAATGCAACTTTTCCATCTGTGCAATTGGAACAGGAAAAGACAGAAGAGAATCAAAAAACAGAGGCAATAAAAGTGGTGATTTTACTGCGTAATCCTGGTTTTGATAAAAATAGGATATGTCTGCGGTATGAAAGCGGAAAAAAAAGCTGGTATTCATGAGTAGGTCGAAAAAAAAATGGGAAAACACCAGAAGCAATAGCAATTACAGCAAAATAAATAGATGATCTACAGAATTTCTTCCAGACAGTATAATAGCTTGTTTTTTTTTTCTCTTCTATTGAACAGATCTGAACAGACCAAGAAAAAAGAAAAGAAATTAGTTTTTCCATTTCCTTTTCAGTAGGAAAAAGTCAGTTGTAAGCTATATTTAAAAAAAATTTTTACGGCAACAAAAAAACAGCGATAACAGCGTCAATTTTTTTTCTTTTTCTTCTTTTAAGTCTATAAGTTAGGTGCAAAAAAGCTATCAAGTTGCCATCAAAACCAATGATCAAGTATCGATGCATTAGCAAAGAGTTCCATGAAGAATTTAATGGATAACGAATGTGCATACAAATATGTTACAATCAGAATTCCTAAATGTTAAAAAATGATTCATTGGTGATTAACTGGGACAAAAAAAAAAATTGGATAGAAAACACATGTGTTGTAAAAGAAGTCTGGAAAGCTAACTTTTTTTCCCAAAATTTCTTCAAATACAAAAAAAAAAAACGACAGAACAGGTCTTTTTTGGTAAAATAATTCAAAATTCAACATTTGTACTTTTTTTTTTCGATTAAAAGTAAGTTGAAAGCAGTAAGATGTGTCTGTAACTTTTTTTTCCAGTTTTAAAAAAGGTTTATTTTAAAAAAATTTTTGGCCAACAGCAATATTTTTCTGGTTAAAATCTGACGAGCAATATATATATATATACACATGCGTATTAAGCTTTATTAAACTTAATCTAGAAAAAAAAAAGAGAAGAGAAAATTAGGATTAATTTGTTACATAATTTCTTGAGTAGAAATTTTGTATTTCTTTTTTTTATTTTTTGTTTTTTTTAAGCATTATTAATAGTATTGCATACAGAAGACGTTAAATCAACACTTTATAACAACTGCGTAGGCAGTTAAATGGCTGACAAGTAGTTCAATAAGAAACAATTTGGACAACACAGTTTTCAAAATTGCATTATTTTCCATCAACTTTGTTCTGCTCAATTTTTTTTTCTTTTTTTTTTTTTGTTTTTGATTAAAACCAAAAGAAAAAATCTGTTCTTGTAAGATATAGATAAGGGGATAGACTTCAAACTAAGCACAATTTTGTTTACCAGCTA